AGGATATCAGCCTCTTCAGGAACAGACACTGGGGGGCTCTCCGTCTGCCTCTAGATCATTTTTTAATACCCCACTCTGAATATTTCTCGCTCCCTGACAGGCCTGAATCAAAAACACCTTGGGCTTGGCAGTGAGAGGTGAGCTATTGGTTGCTCTAAAAGTCCTTGTTATATCTTTAATAGATAATGGCATCTTGTCTATCCCATAGACAACCCCTTTATTTCCGTGGGTTAAAACACAACATATGAAGACATCGCCGTGTTCCAGAGTCAGTGGGGTTTGTGAATGAAGATTCACAAACCCCACTGAGGTCCACTCTTTCAAACTGAACTGCTGCAGCTCAGAAATATCACACAGAGTAGAAAAACATTTTAGAGTTGAAGACATGGCTGCCATTGTTTGGTCTTCATACATCAGCACTCTGAACCCAAGCCAATTAAAGACTTCTGCTAAACTTTCTGTAAAACATGTAAAACATAGTTAACACCTAATTTACAACATGCAGAATTTATAATGTTTGTTTTTTTTCTGTTTATGATGTACCAGCATCTTTGTCAGTTCCACGTCTCACCGATCCATCTTCAAAGTTCATGTTGTTCAAAATCAAGCAAAGGCCTGTGGGATAGCTAGTAACTGGATAGGTCTCATCCTTTAAATATAAATTAAATAAAAACATAGTTTATTAACGCAATCAGTTAAGCAGTTCAGTAGAAGCCTTAACATCAAGGTTTTAAATTATAGTTCAAGTATACACTTATTCCATAATATGTATGTTGTAAGAGCATGTATGTTTGTAGGCTACTAGAAGATATGTGGCATGTTAAGAATTACCATTTTTGTCTTCTTAGTTCTTGCAGCCCCATCATCTGTGACTGTAAGAATTGCATAAGGTAAGGTATTGTAAATGTTATAAGCTATACCAGCTTGACCGACCAAAGTACCTTTGTTTTCCATTAAACATGTCTCTTGTATGGGTTCAACTGGACGGCGTCTGCAGCTAAATTGAACTGTCTTTAAATTTGGGAAAGTGTCTTTAATCTCATCGTCTGTCTCCAAAAGGCGGAGGAAGCTTTCACATGTTTCTTCTCCTTTGTCCATGAGCGTGTCCACCAACTCAACAATATGCCCTTCCACATTTTCTTTGTAGATGCCTTTGAGATTTAAGTACTCTCGTTCAGTTATTAGTTCACATTCATAAACTTTGTTCAGGATAAATCTGTGGTCTCCAGACAGAATCCTGTGAATAGATGTTTTATTCCGCCTCATTGTGGCTTTAGCAGACATGGCAAACCTAAAACAAGACACAATGACAGTGTTAAAAAGTTAAATTTACCAATAATGTATAAAGAAATAATAGTTTGAAAGTATTTCAGTTATACTGTGGATATGGAAAATGTCAAAACAAAAGCGTTGTTAATCATACATGCAGAGTTATTTGGCCTACTCCTTACAGTTCAGTACAGTGTAACAGAAAAAAGCAACAGAACAGAAGACGCTATTAATGTTTGATTATTGTGATGATGTTGATTTATTACCATAAACCAACATCACCACAACTTAAAATAGTTTGATTAAAATACAAAAAGATATGGCGACATTTATTTCCTTCACCTCCACTTACCCGCGATAAAGCCCGGAAACACCGAGCTGCTGCTGCTCCAGGATAATGTGTTGTCGTGGATCTCATTATACTTCCATCCCGCGCGTCCTCCTTTTCAGTTTCTGTTCACGAGGTAAGTCACGTAAATGTATGTCAAATTGCACATACTTATTTGATTCTAGGTGGATAAGATGTACTCTTCATTGTGTGTACAGACATGAAACAAAACTAGTCTTCGCAAACCCTGGGCGCCAGCAACACTTTGGAACCAGTCCAATCAGCGCAAGTTTGGTGCGCCCCCTAGTGACACTTTAACGGGGGCGGTGCTGTATGGCCACAAGTTTATTACAGAAATAGTGATCATTCATTTTACTATCAGTATATTGTAATGTTAGACTTCTGTGTTTGTCCCAATGGGAGACTTGGGGGCTCAGAGGCTTCAGAGCCAGGGAGGCAAATGGAAGCATGGGACTCTGCATAGACCAATACCCCACACCATGCTCCCTTAACCCCCACCCCCCTTTCTAGGAAACACTGATGACGCCATGCTTCTTCTTTCTCCAGAAATGTATGATTTGCTTTTGAGAGCCAGATCTCAGTCACCCACAGTGAATGACAGAAAGCAGAGGCCACAGGCAGGAGGTAAGGCTTTTTTTTTTTTTTTTTTTTAACTGTAATGGTTTTATAAAATGCACAGCTAAAAGTCTTAAATACCACTGGAATTTTGTTATGTATATATATATATATATATATATATATATATATATATATATATATATATATATATATATATATATAAAAGAATTAAAAAAAATAAAAATTAACAGCTCATCAGATAATGTTCACCAATAGTCAAAGTTCCCCAGAATCTCCATTTGTAATGCTTCTTTGTGTTTTAAATAAACAAACTTACTGTTTGAAAACTAGGGCATTATTTGTTGAATTCTACAACTTAAAAAGGGGGAAGTCCAACCAGGAAATTACTACAATCTTTGTTTTATACATTTTAGTGCAATCCTACTAGATAAGAATGATGGTACCTCCTTTTTTTCAAGTCGCATGGTTCAGTCTGTTGATGTCTGGATGCACGTACACAAGTAAGTGGCCTCACTGATGGACACACCAGAGTCTAATCTGATCCAGCATAAGATCCAGATGAATTATTAATGCATTAGTCTTATAGCCCTTTTGACACTCAAAGTTGCTTTTAGAAATGTGTGCATTATTCATTCACTCAGTACCTGGTACTTAGTAATACTTAGTATTGTTATGGGACCTGAATATTTATGCATTCAAACTGAATAGTTAAATGGAATACTTTTAGGGTTGGAAGCTACTGTGGCCTGTGGTGATGATGAGGCCAACCTTCAACAAGTAAGAATCATAAAGTGTTATGAAGATGTATGTTGGCATATAATTATATAAGGTGTGTTTTTTAGTTATCGCTACTGAATACATCAGGGAACACATCTCTCTTACATATTGATCCAAAAAGCGATGTCATATGTCTTCTTTATCCAACACATGAAGTTAACTGCTCCTGGTCATTGGAGTCTCTGGAGATGAAAGCTAATGTCACCACCACAATTAGGTATGTATAAAGTCTGCATTTTAACACAATGCATTGTCAATTTACTTCTTTATTCATGCAGCATTTGCAATGGTGATAAAACAATGCAAACTCAGGAGTCTAAGATATCCACTGGATCACATAGCAGTCTCATTGAAAAAACTATAACCGAGTTGATCCTGCACTTCAATATTAGTCTGCATGACCAATGGGCAGTTTATTACTACAAGATTGATAACGAATCCTTAGGTAAGTTTACACATTAAATCTAGTCATTCCCGTCCAGGATAGACTGACAGAAGTGCTTATGGTCCCTCTGACCATCCTGTCAAAACAATTCTGTTGAAAATTATAAATTTTTTCTATTACAATGTTCCTATTGTTTTTATTATCACTATAATTGTACTTATATTTAATGTATTCTTTTGGGCTCATGTTCTTGTTTTTTAATAATTTATATTTATTTTAGAAGTTCTTCCTCCACCACCAGATGTCAAAGGCTCATTTAAAGACAATGATTTGTTCATTACTTGGGGCCTTCCTTTTTGTCAAATAGATTGCAGTAATGGTATCTTGGAATATGAATTACATATAAGTGATCAGGTATAGTAACAGTTATCCTAATTCAGGTTTTAGAAATATTTTTTCAGAAATTTAAGTTATATTTTTTCACATCAGGAAAAGCCTAAGTATGTGATGGCTCTACAATCTTACACTGAGCCCAATGTGGACCTCACTCAAAGCTACACAGTGACAATAAGAACAAGAGTAAGTGAGTATTATGCTGGGTCCCATCACTGGAGTGACTGGAGTCATCCTGTCAGTAAGTGATTTATTCATGGTCTTTTTGACATAATCTTTCACATGTTTTTGTATGCAAAGTATGAATAATTTAAGTTTGCATGCATTTCAATTTATGCAGCAATAGAAGCAAAACAGTTAACGTATCAACTAACTGCTGAGATGATAATAGCCATTTCAGTCGGAATACCCATGATCCTCTTGGCTCTACTGCTGGTGGTTTGTCAAAGGTACTTTATTAAACCACTGTGTATGAGATAAATGTACAAGTTAAGAATACAATCTATATTTGTTAAAACAATTAATAAAAAAGAGAAGTGAGAGGAGCAGCATGTTGCCTTCACAATTTCCACCACAAAACAGACTTCCTGGGAGGGGGTGTCAAATGTGTGAGTAGCAATATGTGATATTTAGGCCAACAGGCACATTTTAGATCTGTCGAAGTTTTTCTTTAATTATAATTACATTTTAGTACACAAGAGAAATTTATTATCTCAAAAATGCAACATAGAAATCAGAGCTTTCAGTAAAAACAAATATGTTTGGTGAATAGGGGTTGTAAGGACCTGATAGGAGTGTTCATTTTTACAAACTGATGTAAGCTATGGCAACAATCTTTAATAGATATTTAGGTATTATCTTGGATGCTGGATTACTCTGATGATAAGCACTACAAGTTTTCTGGTTAATGATTGTGACTTTGACTTTTCCCACTATGCTTGGTTCAGATTGTCCAAGCGCCTGTTCCCTCCTATACCAAGCCCTCCACCAAGGTACTTGCATGTTTTGCAGAACGGTGACCATGTAAGTAACAAACGCCTCTATAAATAAATCATCCATTTATTATTAGTTGCTTATTACTTCTGTTTTGCAGTTTGTCTCTCCTGACCTGGCAGTGAAACCTGATGAGGAGATCACATTGGTGTTTTACTCAGAGAATGAAAAGACACACAAAAGTAGACCTATATAATATTTAGCAATGCATTTTTAATGGTAATATTTGTTTTTTTAACTTCTTGAATACATGTGATGTGTCAGTTAGACCAAATATCTACAAAGTTTTGATTTGCCAGGTCGCATTGTTTCACTTAATGCTTTTGATACCATGTTTATGTATGTTTTGTATTATCACATATGATATTCTGTACACATTTTTTTATTTTTATTTTGTTTTTAATTATTAAAGGTAGTAAAGAGTTCATCAGCAATTAAGTATCTCACAGTTTACTCTAAAGAAACCTCAGAAAAGGTGTAAGATTTACAACAGTTACAAGAAAAAAGGACATGCTGCAACCTTTAGAAAACGTGAGATGATTATTGTCTGTTTTGATGGTCTTCATCACAAATACATTTTCATTATGCAAAATTTTATATGAGTCATAGTGTTATGTTTTACATTTCAAGATACTCTGTAAAAGAAAAATGTAAATACATTAATTAAAAAAAAAAAAAAAAAGTAAAGTAGAAAGTGCATGATAAACAGATGCCCTACCTGTTCCAAAGCTAAGGTATGGCAGCTGTCCTTTATCCAGAGGGTCTGTGAGGGGAACTGTAGGCCTTTCCGTGCAAGAGCTTGTTCTGTAGTTTTCAATCAAAGTTTGCAGTTTGTGAAACTTTTGCCTGTTAGAGCCCTGTTTTTCCAAGAATAAAACAATTAGAGGCACATCTTGTCAACATTCTGTCTTCATTTTGCATGATTCTTGTGGTCTAACCTGAAGAGACCAGCCATCTGAAGAATGAATGAGCCTGTAGGTGTGAACGAAAGGTGTTTTTCTGCAAAAACAAAACAAAACAAAACAAACAAACAAAAAGGCAGAAGCAGTTTCAATATTTAAACCAATAGACTTCACATTCTGTTGCTTTCAGTTTTGGGAGTAACGCGTAACAAATTACAGCAATATAGCCTAAAGATTTACTTTTTCGGTATGGTAGGCCTATAACGCATAGGACTACAGTATAATACTAAGATGAATGCACAATGTATTAGGCCTACTCGTTACAATCTCAGTAACGCGAGTTACTTAGCATTTTATTATGAGCTGTACCGGAGCTTCTCCAAGCGGCTCGTGCGCTCTGTGAGCGGGGCTTGTGCCATCGGAGCGCAGCGCAGCTTCTAAAAACGGCTCAGCGCTTCAGCACCTCTGCTCCTCCCGCGCCTCTTCTCTCACCGTGAGTCAGGGTCAGGTTATAGAAAAAAGTCCTACCTGTGCTCCCCACGGAGTCGCTTCACGTGAGAGGTTTTCTTCATGAGGTGCGCTACGCGGCGAACGCGGTAGGCTTATAGGCTGATACCATACTACCGTGTAACTGCAGTTCATTGAATGTGTTAATGTGCACTGATGAGTGCAACTGGCACTAAAAACTTAAAAAAATGAGTGTGTCAGTTAAGGGCAAGTGAAAGTTGGTTTGGAACTGTGGTTTTCAAATTGTAGGTTTGGGTCTAAGACTGGGCACAGAGGTTAAACCTTTTTGTTTGAATTTGATAAAATACAGTGACAACCAGTTCCGTGATGTCAGAAAATATTATGTACAGTTCTAAGGAAAATTGGTTCAAGACAAATGTAATTCAAAGTAAAGTGAAATAGTGTAACCCAGTCACATTTGTAGGACAAACAGTGCTTGCTTAACTGACCAAGCAGACTAAAACCATTGTTAGTTTCATTTTCAATTCTTATCATATTACCTTCTGAAAAACATACCTGATCCATAAGTTTTAAAACTTAAATTTTAAGATTAACTAAAAGCCTACACACTTTCAGCCTGCTCATGTGCCTTCTGAAAATCTTTAAGAATGGAAAATGAAAGTGGTTCATGGTTGGTAATTCAGGTTACCAACAAGGTTCAAGGTCATTAATATTTTTTATAAGTATATACAGGTCTAATTGCAGTAGTCTTGTGATACTTCCCCTCTACATAAAACAAAAAGGGGTCTTTAACTCACCTGACACAGAGGCAATATGTTCCTGGCAAGGTTACACTGTCCCGTAGTAGAAAACTGCCATCCCGTCCGAACCTCTCCAGCAGCTGTTCTGTGGCCTGGCTGCTGATGTGCCCATAGTAAATAGAGGCAATGAGGTCCCCTTCTCGCTCCATGACCCACAGAGACAGAATGCTCAGCTACTGCAGGAGCTGAAGGTGCACACAACTAGCAACATCAAAACTGTGAGAAAGGATATGAGTCCCTTTATGGTTTTCACACTTTTTGTGCAAGCTACATGTCATGCACTTTGTTCAACATAAACATAGCAGCACTTTGCCACAATGTGCAGACTACACGCAACCAAACACATCCATTATTATTGAGAAATAATAATAGTCAAAAACAAAAACCTCAGATAAAGAATGTGGCATAAACAAGTAAAAAAAATATGACAAAAGCACACCACAGAAAAAAAGTTAATTTAAATACATTTATATATGAAAATGCTGGATGAATTTCAACAAATTAATGATCAAATAAATTATAAATAAAACAGACTCAAAAACATTTCATAAAGAGAAGTCCAGCTGAGGCTGAAGGGTCACAGAGGACATTAACCAAAAAGCATTCATTTCATATTAAAACAGTCAGTGAAGGAAAACATACATATTATATGTATGTATGTATGTATATTATATATATGTATCTGCATGATGATTAAGGCAATACTGTTCACCAATAAAGAGTGAAGAAGACAAGAAGTTCAGCAGATACATATTAAACATGTGCCAGTCCCTTTGTTATTCTAGTTATTCTTATTCTTTGATTAAAAAAGACAATTTATTGTAACTTATTTTTGGCTCTATCACGCAATGGATGCTCTGCCCTATATGCTGAGAAACAGGTTATGGTCTTTTATGTGATCCGCTTGAAGTTTTTTTTTTTTTTTTTATGGACTTTTTCTCAACAAGTTCATGTTTTGTAGCTGTGAAGAGAAGCGCACACCCAAATCCTTGTTTGCCTCAAAGAAACTTTCAAGGATTTTCAGTTCTTCTGCACTCTGAAAAACAAACTTATTTTAATTAAATTTAGAATACATTATTTTGCATATTGTAACTATGAGTAAATTCATACCAAAGCGCTGGTCTGATCTGTTTCTTCCAGCACCTCCTGCAGTCGTTGTTGGAGCAGTTCAGCTTCCCATTGGACAATTGAGTCTGCATTGATCTCATGAACAAAATCTGTGACTATATCATCCGAATCTGTTTGGTCCAAGCCATGTACATGAATAGACAAATCAGCTTGGAGCATCTGAGGATTATATAATGGGACGTCAAATATTACACACACATATTACTCATGATGAAGCTGTGGAGACAAATAAATTTACCTGTTTTATCTGTTGTTCTGCTCTTCTCATGGGAACCACATTTCTGAACAGAAGTATAAAGTTTCTCAATGCTGAATCGTAGTGTTTTATCCAAGTATCACTCACAAGGAAGTCTGATGAGTGCATTAGCTCATTCCTATACCGGATCACCTGAAAAAGCATCACATCAACCCTCGAAAGTGTTTAATTCTATGTAGAACTGGGAAAAATAAATAATAGCATTTACAATGTTAGCATAATCATTTATTTACTTAAAAACTAATTAGCTAATTCTAAAAGAAATATTATAGAAGAAGAAGACATTCTACTTGTATTCGGGTATTTAGTTGTTGGGCTAAGGAAAATAATTATATGATTTTATTTTGGCCTAACCCTGTTGTACTTAAAATGTTTCCATCAAATTATAAGCCAAACAAGAATAACTGGCATGACTGAGTCTGTTCACAGTTCAGGAAAGCCCTCTATCTATTCAGTAGTGAACTACATAACATAGGCAGATCATTGTTTTACATTTTGTTCATTCCAAACTGCAACATTGATCTGAAATAGAACAGAAACAGGTCCAATGATTTCAAAACTGTAGAACAGATAAACCTTATTTCACTGTAGCAAGGAGTGGATTATTATTTATGTGGTTTTATGGTTGAAAAATAGTGATGAGACATTTATGAAACCTACATGTGTAACCCTGAAGTGTGAATTTTCTGGGTAAATATAGTAAGTAAAGTTGGTGGTGGTAGGGTAGGTTGAAAACACAGATATTCCCATTAAAGTTTCGACTATGTCTAAAACATTCCTCATATAACATTAATAACAAGATAATATACCTCTCTCACTGGTTTAGGAGCCACAGAGTGAAACCAGTCACATGAGTTGATGAGATTGAGCAACGCTGAAGCATCAAACTGATCAGCTCCTCTGACCTTTCCCTGACCCCGTGGCATGAAAGCCTACAGAAGAAGCAAACGTCCTGAGACCTGTATCACCACTATTATGAAATTAAACAATGCATGCTAGCAAAACATACATAATACACACATTAAATACACAGAGGTGAATACAGGAATAATAGCTGAAAGACATAAAATAATAATAATTCAAACTAAACAACTTTCTATAAATTGACATGTGTTTAATTGGTTTTATATTTTATATATTTTTTTATCCTATTTGTTGTTTAAGGGAAAAGTTAGATTAGGTTTTGATTCAGACCATTTGGCTTGATATATGTGATGTGTGTCTAGAAGAATGAGAAGCTGTATTGGGAAAGTCTTTAGTTTGGGTTAAGTACCTTAGCGACCTCCCAGTGGTCGGTTCTCCAGGACACAGGTGAACAGTTGTCCCAATTGACAGTGTTTTGGGGCTGTCTGTGGTGTGCCAGGATGGTCGTCTGCCACTCTGAACAAAACCTACATGCTTCTAAAAGCTGGACATACAAGAAGAAAGGTGTAGGCCACTGTAAACACAATTGTACAGTGGGGCTGGGCAATATAGTGATGAAAGTACAATTGTGATCTCATCTCTGTAACCCCTGAGCTATTTTGAAGCAATCGTAATATTATGATTCAGACTTCTCTGTTTAATATAACTCAAACTTCCCCCACCCACTCCAATTGTGCAGACTTTAAAGGTTCTAAACAGAAGGATTTAACCAATCACAGTGAAGTGTCAATTCTCAGAAGGGTGACTTGATGTCAATCTTAAAGGCAAATGTAAGATCGAATTGGTTGAAATTGGATCCGACATGAATCTTGCCAGAACATGTTTGCATTTTCAGTGGCTTGCTATGTCTATTATTTAGGCTACATTAACCTGATCTTTTGTCAGACTGCTAGACTTTTCCGCCCATCTTAATAACAAAGCCTTTGCACAGGTAGTAGACAAAACAGTCTCAATGAACTACATGTTTCCTGAATGAGATGGATGGATCTCCAGACCTTATTCCCGCTGGGTCTACAGAAACTCTCGCAGGGTCTCCGAAGTAGTGTGTTATGATTGAGTAGGTCCGCGTGGAAGTGTCTCATCTCACAGTCTATGAACGGCTGCAGACCCCGAGCTAGAATACACAGACACTGTCCCGCTTTTATCCAGTTTAAGTACTCTTTGTTACTCAAACGGGCTCGCATATGTTCGTGAAACATACTGGCAGAGCTATTTCGCTGGCAAACAAAACCATGGACAAAAGAAACAAAAGTAGATGTCTTCCTAGTTAAGCTCCGCCTATGTAATTGAAGTGCCGGGCCTCTAGATGGCACTGTCCTCTTGTCAAACTACACGTGAAGAATCTTTTAACCACAGACTGTATAAAAATATGCTTTTACCCAAAACTGAGCTAAAGTGAAGGTGACCAAGTGCTAATATTTTCAAGAATCAAGTGAGTCTGTAATGTAGCGAAATGTCATTGTTTCAAGAAGTACAAACGTTTGTCACTAGTGGAAAGTTTCATGCTATTAGCAATGGTGTTGATTAAGGTAATTTTTTAGCAGTGATGTGCTGGCTTTAAAAAAACATTATTGCACCAAAAGCATGTCGAATTGGTTAACGTAACTACTATATTAGTGCAAAATCGTACTAGATCTGCAAAACAAGTGTGTATGTTTTACACCCCTTGGAAACGCACCATTGTTTTTGTAAAGCCGAATTAAGAGCATTAAAGGTGCACTATGTAATTTTTCTTGTCTCCATCTGAAGTGCAAGCTAAAATAGTCCTGGTTAGACAGAGGAAATACATTTTACTTGTTGTATTATTTGTCATGCTCCATAGTAAAAATAAGATTCATTTTTATTACCGCAAAATATATTGATGGACTCATAATTTATAAACTCCTCTCTCTGCTGCATCTCTTTGTGAGGATGAACTAACTGCTGTGTCTGTGCTGCTGGGACAGGGGAGCTCTGGGCCTGACCAGCCGGTGCTTAAAGTCCCTTAGGCTGGAGCTGGAGGATCTCGCTGGGGAGGAGCAGCTCACTCTGACAGATATCATGGATCAACAGATACTCAGAGGAGCCATGGCTGTCTCCCCTGTGCCCAAGACTACTCCACAGACAAGCACTAGTGGGTAAGGAGACACCCACACACAATTGCAGCTTAATTTTGTATTCACCAATTAGAAAGTTCAACATATCAGGTGTGGAGCGACAGAGTGTAGTAGTGCACTATTGTAACAGACAAAATTCAGACAATAGACTTACTGTATTAAGAGCATAGAGCAGGCATGTCCAAACTATGGCCCGTGGGCCAGATGTGGCCCTCAGACAAATTTTTCTTGGCCCTCAGGCTTCCAGAAGAATTGGCCCAAATTTCCTTGCATCAATTAAAAATAAATTTTTTACTGCAAGTCTTTTGAAAATCTACCCTGATGAAGCTAATATTTAATATTTAGTGTGTGATTTTAAGGATCTTAGTTTGAATAAAGACTGATGGCTCTTTCTAACATGTTAAACATGCACATATTTTAGTTCTTCACTGTATTGAGCACCAGTCTACAGCCCTCGATCAACCCTCTGTTCATCTGTGTTTAGATATGTGGCCCTTGATGAAAAACGTTTGGACACCCCTGGTATAGAGTGTGGCTTTATCAATAATACTAGTTCAAGTGACATGTTCTTCCTTGTTAATTATGAATGAATGGCTATCCATAGTTTGAATACTGAACTGCAGAACCAACTATTGAAGGCTTTGTGGTCTTTTCCCAGTATACATTATTAAATGAGTTAATCTAAATATCCCAGTGAATGAATAAATGAGGGAATATATGCAGCAGTCTCAAAAAGTGTTAGTGACTCACTAACCCTTGCCAGAATGTACCCTGCTACATAGGTTTTAGATGTGGTCAAAATACTTAGTGAAATAAGTATGTTACAGGTCCAGTTTATAAACGTGGTTGTTTTTAAATAACTAAATATTACTTTCATCGGCAACAAGATGACGAAGGGTGTTATTAATTGATTATTACCACGGTTATGCAAGTATTTTAAACTGTGCATTGCACTAAAACATCACTTGTCAACTTACTATAAGATATGTCCAATTATAGGCCAAATAAGTTAATATTTCTGTAACATTTGCTCAAACATCTTGTCCCTGTACAATGTTTAATATGCATAAGAGGCAGACATTCAGTGCATTTGTATTTTGTTTAAAAAGTCTTAAAACTTTTTTTCCCACATGTTTACGGGATTAGTGACCGTCTCAACTTTTGTGGAATTCAGTTTGTCTAACAAATGAACAAACATGCGTCTGTATGTACTCTACAAACCACTCAGCAGGATGCAGTATTTGCGATGAGTATAAAGTGAGTATTTGCTTGTCTGCGTCTTTGTTAGCTCCTTGATTGACTACCTTCTGCCCATTGCATGCTGGGATCTGCTCTAACCTCCATGACCTGACGTGCAACAACAACAATGCAACAAGGCGAGGGAAAAAGAACTGACATGTGAGTAATTTTTCAATGTTTACCACAAAGCACCAGCAAAAACAGCTGAAACAGTCAAAACAGGAGCTCCAATTAAAACACTTGACGTTACAATTATGAAAATGAAAAGACATTTGTGTTGTATCAAATAATTCCATCTTTACATGAAAATTTAATTAGCCTTTTAGGATGCAGAGCGAAAAACAAATATGCCTCTATCTTTGTAATTGGATCTCTATGGATTTGAGGATAGTTAAAGTAGATTAGACGGCCTGGAGTGTAGGAGTGCGCATAAATGAGTGCTGCTTCGACGAAGGGGGACACAACAATATTAATGTGCTGTGCTGCTAGGTATGCATGAGTGTGTTCCATATATAAATACACATATATATCTTTGTACCCACAATCCCAGCAGGGTGGGTTTTTTAAGCAGAGCAGATCAAAGTGACATTAGTATTCTGAAATAAATCACATGCTAGGCCCTCACTGTGTGCGTCCCCAATCACATCCACAGGAGACACACACAGACTTGTTCCCTCCGCACACCACCTCTCCCCCCTCGCGCCCCAGCCCCTAGCGGCCTTCACAGCGATCTGCTTACTGCCTTCGAATCCTTTGTTACACGCTTTCAGTTTCTCACGTTCTGACTTGAGCCCGTCTCCTCCTTCCGTCTGCAAATAAGCAGGAAAATGCTTTGTCAGAGAAAACTGTTGTTCATCACTGAAGAAGTCAGAAACGCAAAGTAGGGGTTTTTGACAAGTATATCCTTAGGGAGCGCCCTGTTATTCTCTCTTCCTCTCTCCATCTTTCTCCTCCAACACCTCGCTCCCCATCAGCCCTCTTCTAGCTCTATTTTGGGGCCAGCAATGGGATGACTCTGAAATTTGAGGAGATACAAGTTGGACAGGTCCTTTAAAAGCTTTGAAAACTCTTTTCAAAACAAAAAAATCCAGACAGTTGCATGTTATGATTTTGTAAGGGTGCAGAATATTCACAAGGTCAGTGGTTTTCGAAGCCTGAGCAAATGGACAGGATTACCTCAAGAAAACGGTCTAACATAATAGCAACCAAATATGTATGATACTATGAACTCTCATAAGCAGCAGATGGCTTTAGTTATCTCTTTAAGTAATTCATAAAGAAGATATGAACTGCATGAATTGGTCAAATCTGAATGAATTGGTCAAACATAGAAAAAGACATTTCCCTCTGAAAATCATGTTCTACAATTAATTTGGTAGCTATAATTTGGAAGTTGTTGAAGGCCACTGTCTGGTTTGATTGGCTACTCTTTTGAGACTGCTGTCAGTTCTTTTTAATACTTTCATATTTACTCAGCTTAGTAACATCTACTGTGTTCAAACTTTTAATATAAGTCCATTAACTAATTCCCAAGCTAGCTAACACATGACAACCCAAACCACAAATAACATTGTGGTTTGTTGTTAAAGTGAAAATTGCAACTTAATAGAACAGACAACACATCTGACATCTGAGTTGCCAAAGATCCTAAGCTGGACCCATTGGTATCCTGTCAGAGGCTGAGTTAACACTATTAACTGTCACTATAATTTTCCTCAAAAATCAGAGATGCCCCAAAGGAAGACCACAGTATCTCGCATCGACTTGTATCCACATCTCTCCAGCTGTTTTCTGGTCTGAGAAAGCCTGCTGTTTAAGTAGAGGGAGCAGAGGGGAGGTAAAATGATTGGCACGTTGCAGTAGGCAGTGGAGGATGCTCATTTTGAACCGAGAGAATTAAAATGAGATGCACATAGCTTGCCCCCTGTAGTTCTCTGACAGATACAATATCCGTGAGATTCAGGCTCCCTTTGTGCTTTGTTGTCCGTCTGCAGTGAGTGTGATGTGGGCACGTGTGTGGGATGGCTAAGTTGAGGCCGCAGCGAACATGCATGTAGTTATTTATGTGTCTACTTGTATCTTTGTGCGTTGACTTGTGTGTGTGTGTTGGTGTGTCATTTTGATAGCCACCCACATGAATATGCAGATCAGTTTTAGAGAGCGTATGTGCTCAGCATTAAAGCCCACTCTCCACTGCTGACCCAATTTCACACTGCGGTCTATCTAAGTATGTGTGTTGCTTTTGCTTATCAATGTGTTTTGTCAAGCTTGGAAAAACTGCACTGGTTAAGGCAAAGGCGTGGATGTTCTTGTTTATGAACCTAACCAAGCTTGCTTATATTACTGACTGATAAAGCTCCACTGCTCATAACCTACAAATTACTGCTTAGTTGCTTTTTTTTTTTTTACCTGAATTACTTAAGCTAACCCTCCCATGCGAGCCTTATTTGTAGTTGTTTATTCTGGGCGTGTTCGGCAAAACTCCAAACTCCCATATACTTAAGATGTAATAAATTCATTACAATCTCATTTTGCTCTCGAGACCGCACTCACAAAACGCTACAATAACTCATTTGTGAAGGAAGCAGCTGCCTACCACTTATCCATCTACTAGAGATGATTGCCCTGTTTCTCCATAGCACTTTTTAAAAGGTGTGGTGAGTCATGGCAGCAATGAAGAGGTGGCACTACAGACTTATGGATGAGTTTTGAGCACAGGCCCAATATATCTCCTCTATGGCCCCAATTTTCATGTAATTTCTCCAGTGATATGGAAGGTAAAATAACCGCTTCTCCCCAAATACAATTTCTGTGATCCTACGAAGCTGTCTGGAGACATTTGGTACTTCATCAAGAAGGTTATGTACCAACGTGTACTCTGAGATAGCTCAGAAAGTAATGAGTTTGTTCTGATTAACATTTCAGTAAAGGTCATTATGGGGTCATGGACAAAATTATTTGCTTTTGTGGTAAACCGGTCATATAATAAAGAATTGTGTCCCAAGACAGAACCAAAACAAATCTCCTTGCAAAGGGGCAATAAAGATGATTCATAATGTATTATTTTGTTAATAATTACAAGTGCACCATGTTAAGGCTTCTGGCAGAGGGTACGCCACCAGCTTGTCTCTATGGAGATATCCTGCGTAGAATGTTTCACAGTATGGCATTAGACGTAGCCAGCTCTATGAAGACAAGCATTTGCTGGAGACGGGCTGCACCAGGGAGGGGATGTTCAGAGTAGGAAAGCATGTATTTTTGGTATACAACACTTGTAACTGAATAAATGCAAGATAGGTGAGTTTAATGCCATACGTTAGAACATTCCTGCAAATTGCGTATACTTAATAAGAAAACATTGTGTGCTTTCAAGGGCATGATTGTTCACTTACTTCTGGATATCTGCCATAATATCACATTACATCAGAGGTTTGTTCTATTAAAATGTTGACATCTTTTCCGCCCACCAGTTTCACCTACAGATTTCAGCTTTTGAGTTTAATATTTTCCACAGAATGACAAAACTAGACATATGCATGATTGATTTATGACTATTGGCATGTCTTGTAGTGAAATAGGCTACTATTTTCATGCACACTTGCTTGCCTTAAGGAGAAATGACTGAAACTGTATTTCAGTCATTTCTAATTGGGTCTTTTTAAAGGAGAAGTCTATGGCCAGTCCTGTCAACAAAAGCATGTGATTTGGACATACATTGGAAGAAGAAATTATTGTTCTATGTTGGTATTAATGGCATTAATTAAAGCCCTGTGTTGTTTATGATCAGATAAATTCATATTGAAAGCCATGTTTATAATAACCATAAATAGTGGTTTGAAAACTTGATCTATATGAGAAGAAAAATTGTGATTATGGTAATTATTTTACCATATCTCTCTGGACTCGTGCTCCCAGATGACATTCCATCAACCATAAGGCCTTATAGTTGTGTATAGGCATAACATTGCTGATTACTTTTTTGTCCGTCTTAGCGACTTATAATGTATTTGCATCTAAACTTCAATTTCCAGTGCACTGTGAAATGAATTGCTGGTTCTTTGTTCCGGTTTAATGAGTTGCCACAGCCATTGCCTCTACTACTGTACTTGTATGTTGTCAACTCAGCAGTGCCAGTCAGCAGAAACGCTCAGGCAGAACGGCACTTCCCCAGGCTACCAGTAGATGGAGCTGTTGAGAGGAGGGAAGGCCAGCGGCGACAGAGCGGAGGGGTGGCGCTCTGGTCTATTGTTCCCTGTCCCAATGTTGAATCCTCTGCCTCCAGTCTCAACTCCACCACGTGCACTTCAAAGAGAAGGGAGGAAGTTGGAAAATTAGGTGAATACATTTTGCCCCTTTCATTGCAAGCCTTCATGTTGCTGCGGATATGTTTTTAATTGCTTGAGCTAAATACATAACCTATTTTCCTTTACAAACGCTAAGTGATGATCTTGTAGAATCACAGTGAACGCTTGAAGCCCTGCGCAGAAAAAAAGCGAAAACTTATAAAATATTCAAAGTAACTTGTCAGCAAAGCACCTTGAAAACAAGTATCATGGTGAAAGGATAACTATAAAGCAGTGCTCGGCCAGCAGCACATAGCTTAATAAGAGTTGGCACCCTGCTCTGATAGACATTCCTCTGCATCTTTAACCCTCAACCCGGGAGCCCGCGCACACACCCAAACTCTGTGAAGTAGATCAATGGGAGGATTATCGCAGGACCAAGATGCCAGTTATAAAGCTGCTCTGTGCTGCTGCAGAGAGGAGTGAAGATTGAGAGGCTTTGCTTTGATCTGGGCCTGGTGCATCAGAGAGGGGCCGCTGGTGATGATAATGATGCTGAGGCCCAATGCAGAGGCAGTCTGGGTTTGGCCCGTGCTCCTTCCTGGCCGGTCCCTGGTCCTGCACGGTACAAAAAGACTGTCCTTCGAGGGTTTGATGGGACAAATGGATTTAGCTGGGCAGATTGTGAATTTATTCCAGCAATGTTTTTCTGCCCTGAAAAGTATTGATGCTGTGGTGTGAGTGTGTGCCTGCTCCGTCACATTAGATCCAGCTGAACACCTCTGTCCTCCTTCAAGGACATCCCCTCCCTCCTCTCCACTCTTTCCTCTCCCTCCTCTAGTCCCTCTCTCCTCTCTTTTCTCCTCCCTGTCTCTG